GGTGGATGGATGGACAGATGGATGGACGGGTGGCTCTCTGGGATGAAGCAGACACATGCATGTGCTGGTATGTTTACATGTGTGTGCACATGTGGCGGTGCGTGTGAGGACCTGTGCATGCATGTGCGTGTATGCAGTGGGTGTGGGGTTGGTGAAGTGCTAGCCCTGTGTTTCTCCTGAGGAGCCGTGCCCCGCTAACCCAGCCCTGTGCTCGCTCTCCCCAGGCAGGAGATCTGCGAGAGCGGAGGCCAGTTCCTCATGTGTCCGCTCTGCGACACGTGTGAGACCTGGAACATCTCAGAGATCTGCCCCATGGCTAAGGTAAGGGAAGGCTGCTTGGGGGCCGATGCAGGCAGGGCCCAGAACCCTGCTGCCCACGGGGGCCCGGCTCGATGCAGTGAGAAATCCCCATGTTTGGGGTTTTCCCTGCACAGACGCCCACAAAACCTTGGAGCTCCCCCTGCTCACGCTGCTCAGAGCTGTGCTCGTGGGGAGGGGGGGAGCTCTGACTGCAGGGGAGCCCCTGGCTACTCCAGTCCCAGCATGAGGCGCTGTAGGGAGCAATGCTAGAGGTGTGAGATGGAGGCGGTGAAGATGTAAATGCCTGTGCAGGGGAAAAGGGCTTCTGTGTCTGGTGAAGAGGCCGTGTGGCCCCTCTGCTCTGTGCCCCTGCAGGTCGGGTACCTGTTTGATCACCCCGGGACCGTTTTCTTCAGCGTCTTCATGTCCTTCTGGGCCGTGACCTTCCTGGAGTACTGGAAGAGGAAAAGCGCCACGCTGGCTCACCACTGGGACTGCATGGACTTCCAAGAGGAGGAGGTGGGTTCCCACGACCGTCCATCCACCGCGGCTGGCTCTGCCCATCTGCCGTAGGCCACCTCGCTGGCCAGGATGGGTGCAGGCGTGCGTGTCGGGGATCCTTCCCTCTCCTCCCTGAGGCCAGAGGGGGCTGTGGCCAGATACATGCCTCCCCCTGCAGGGAACGAGACCTCCTGCCGCAAAGCACAGGCACAGACCAGAGGAGTTTAAGGAGACTCTCTCTTCAGGCCTCCAACCATTAACTGGTGCCAATCCCGGACACGGGAGCAGGGCCGAGCGCAGCGATGCACCGACTCCCCCAGCGGTGGCACTGGGTTGGCAGGTGGCACCATTCATGGCACCTGAACCTGTATCCCCCTCAATAGTCCACCAAGGGCCCCCACCCTTCTCCTCCCCAGCTGTCCCCTCTCTTGGGTGGAGACCCGTGTCTCTCTCCCTGCTGCCCGGGGTATTTCCAGGCTGTGAAGCCCCCTTCTTACGCTGTGCTATTGCCCAGAAAAGCAGGTTGGTGGGTGGCCAGCGTTGGCACTTTGCTTTCTCTCCAGAGGCTGCAAACGGCGCATTGCCGGCAGTTATACGGCACCACCCAGCTCTCCCTCAGCAAGCACATGGATTTGTACGGCAAAAGCATTGCCGAGAAAATCGATTAACCAATAAAGGAACCTGCACACGTGCTAAACAGCTGAGCAGAGCTCACCCCACTCGAACCAGGGCTCTGGCTGGTGATCAGGCCTTCAGCCCCACCCAGGGGGTTCTCCTGGGCTCCCAATTTCCACGCCGCTTGTGCTCAGATCTAGCACCCCCCAAGTGTGAGTCCCCCCTTTAGCCTCTCTGGGTCTCTGCGATACGCAGGGCGATGCGCCGAAAGGAGAGCTTGCAGAGTAGGTGCCGCCCCCTAGACATTTCCTGGGGAAATGACTTCAGCGTGTCTGGCCCCTTGTTTTTACAGTGTTCTCTGAAGCACGTGAGCTTCCCAGCCTTTGCATCAGCCCCGTTTCCCCCGAAAAGCAGTCACTTGCCCTCCCACAATAGGACACGAACACCGGCAGTCGTAATGCTGGGAACTCCCACGATACTTACACTTAACTCAGCAAGGTTTGTCCAGGGGGTTGCAGGGTCTGGGCACGCCTGCGGATGCCCAGCTGTCCAGCAGAGACTGTAGGGGGAACCACACCAGTCATGCCAGGCGACCGGGGGCTAAACCCCCCTCTGGCTCCGTTTCCCCTCCTGCAGGAGCGACCCAGGCCCGAGTTTGCTGCCATGGCCCCGCGGATGGAGCAGAACCCCATCACGGGGCTGAAGGAGCCGTACTTCCCCAAGCAGGACCGCCTCTCCCGCGTCCTGACGGGCTCCATGGCCATTGTCATCATGGTAAGGAGGAGGGCGTGGCCTGGGCTGACATCCCCTGCCCGGGAGAGGTGGAGACATGCCCGGGTGGGACACTGCCCTGTTCTTTGAACCATCTGGCTGGGGATCAAACTCGTAGGCCCCGGAGAAGGGCGAGGAAAGTGCCAATGGCAATTCCCGTCCCCAGTCTTTTTCCCTCCTCTCCTGCTAGCAGGAGCTCAGACTTCTGGCTCTCAACATGCTCTGCTGCCTCCTAGCCGGGCCTTGTCCCAGGCCAGCCTTCCTCTCTGGCTGGGACTGAGACCCAGCAAACTCATCTCATGCCAGCCAGCGCAATGGCCACCACGTGGTGGTAGTGAATTTAATCCCCACTGGCCTGGGGCAGCTTAGGCGCGCAGGGCTCCCTATCCCGCCCCAATGCCCCCCAGCGTAGCGTGCAGGGACCCCGGCGGAGCTGGGAAGCATGGGCGCGTTGCGAGGGAGGCCCCACAGTTTGGGCTTTGATCGTTAACAGACGTGGCAAAGAGAATGGCGGTGATTAGAATGGACAGCGCCTGGGTCTGGTGTCACTTCCAGCTTCCCCCAGCAGGGGTCACTCTCCGGATGCCTGCGTTAAAGGAGCCCCTGGCGCAGGTGGGAAGGATGGACTGCCCGTCTCCACGGGACGTCTGTCCTCCTTCAGCTGCCTCGGATGGGCTCCTTCTGCCAGGAGTGTGGCAAAGGGGCCTGGTGGAATGTCAGGGTGTCCCCCAAAGCTGGGCCGAGACCCATATGGGGGTGCTAACGCCTCCCCCATGTTTGACACCAGCCCCGGGCCCCCGAAACCCCACACTTCTCCCAGCCCCACGACAGAATCGAGCCCAGGGCAGGCCGGGGCTGGGCGCTGGCAGTTCGGGAGGCTCAGAGCCTGCGCCTCGCTGGCACGGTGGAGCAGTCCAGCTGGGGGCGCTCCCCGCTCCACCTGCCGTCCGCTCCCCAAGTTCAGCGCCAGGCCACCCACCTCCCACTGCTTATGCCTGGGCTTCCCCTTGCCCCCTTCCAGCTGTGCGTGGTGATGATCTTCCTGGTCTCCGTGATCATGTACCGGGGCATCGTCAGCGTGGTGATGTATCACACGGGCAACGCCATTCTCATGACCCAGGTGAGTCCTGTGCCCTGCGGGGACTCAGAGCTCCCCCCTCCCGGACAGCCCTGGGGTCCGGCTGTGCTTGGGGTGACGGACCCTGCTTGGACCCTGCGCTGTCAGTCAGCTGCTGGGCACCTGGCTAGGGAGGGCATGTGGGGCTCTGGCCAGCTCTGTGCAGCCGCTGGAGAGGAGCCCACCCAGAAGGTCTACGCCAGGGCTCAGCTGGGCTATGGGGCTGGTGCACTGCACTGGGACTCAGGAGACCCGGTTCTATTCCCGGCTCTGCCTTGGGGCAGGTGACTGCCCCGCTCTTTGCCTCAGTTTCCCCATCTATAAAATGGGACTTGTGACCCTGACCTGCTTTAGGAGCTGGCGCTGGCTAGGAGCCAGGGGTGAGACTCAGGACGCTCCCAGCGGAAGGGAAGCCCGTTGTGACAAACTGGGACTGTTCTTACTGTGGTCTATGAATGCTGACGGGAGGTTGGCTAGGACGGTCTGCATTGGGGGATGGGAGACTGGCCGAGGGAGAATACCTGAGCATGTAACATGAGAACCCAGGGAGGGGTTAGAGGCCAGGTGACACCTTTGCCCGGGAAACTGAACAAAGGCTGGAGAGAGAGTTCAGAGCTGGCTGGTGACATGGCTGGGCGGCAGACGGGGCTCTGACCTCCCAAGGGGGCTGTGGTGCACTGGGACCCCAAGATGGACCTAACTGAGGGGATCCTGTTGTCTGTGCCTGCAAGACCTGTCTTGGACTGTGTTCCTGTCGTCTAAATAAACCTTCTGCTTTACTGGCTGAGAGTCATGGTGAATCGCAGGAAGCCGGGGGTGCAGGGCCTTGTGTCCCCCCACACTCCGTGACACCCGTTACTTGCCTCGCTGTTTTACAGGCTGGGAACATAGCGAACATCAGCAGCAGCCTGGTGAACCTGGCGCTGATCCTCCTCATGAGCCAGGTCTACACCTCCCTGGCGGAGAAGCTCACCAGGTGGGGTGAGTAGGAGAAGCCACTGGCAGTGCCGCCCGGCTGGGATTCCCCCCGGGCTGCTCCCACTGTCCTGCAGAGACCTCAGCCTAGGCCCAGCCCCGGAGGCGTGTGCGGGGGAGCGTGGCTACTCTGGCTTCTGGGGCTGGATGGTGCCACCTCAAGCGAGCTCTGGGGGGCACCCTGCACCTCTGCAAAGGTCTGGCATCTCCTGGGCAGTGCCCGTGTGTGACTTGCTGACGCTGTTCCCTTGTGTCCCCTCCGCAGAGATGCACCGGACCCAGACCCTGCACGAGGACGCCTTCACCTTCAAAGTCTTCATCTTCCAGTTTGTCAACTTCTACTCCTCCCCCTTCTACGTGGCCTTCTTCAAAGGCAGGTGCGAGATGGCGTGCTGCTCCCGGCTCTGTGTGCGAGGGGTCCGGGTGACGGGGGATCACGTGAGGCAGGCTGGTCCGGGGCCTCCCTGAGGCAGGGAGGGAGGGGAACAGTGTAGAAGGGAACCGGCTCCGTGGGAAGAGCTGGAGGCTGCAGCCACTCGAGAGACGTTCTGTCCCTGAGCCACACCGCGTTCCACTGCACTGCCACGAATGACGCCAGTAAACGTGCCCAGCGTGTGTGGCACCGTGCACACGGTGCATGCACACTCGCGTGAGCTGTAAGCGTATCACATGATGGCACATGCGCCTGTACACGGCACATGCATGACCTATATGGCAGCGTGTGCTATGCATGGCACACGTTAGCATGCTGGGTGGCTGTATGGTATGTTGTGCTACCCCTAATTCTGTGTCTTCCAAACACCGTTCTGACCTGGCCATGGAGATAGGTCCTGGGGAGGGGTGGCTGGCTCTTGACACCCCTTCCTAGGGAGGGGAATCCCCTCCCTTGGAGCCACCTGCCAACCCCCAGTTCAATCACATCCTGTGTAGGGAGGGACTGGAGCCAAGGTGCTCAGTGATCAGCCAGGGAGGAATGATTTGGTTGCTCTGGGAGGACAAAAAAGGCAGATGTGACTCATCTGTGGAACATCTGGCTGCTCCAGTCATGCCCGGGATCCCTGTGCCATGTGTCTGCCGATGCCCCTGCACAATGGATGCACTGTTCAGCTGTGGGCTTGGAGATTCCCCCCCAAAAACCACAGGCGGGCAAGGTTTATGAATACACCATTGAATCTATCGCCCCCTCTCGCCCCACGTGAAACGGCTCTGCCCTCTTCCGGTGGGTCCTCGCTGTGGTTGCCAGGATCCTCTGTTGTTATTAACACATCATAGATTACATTAGAAGCCCCCCCACACCTGAAAGAGGTCAGATCCCCGAGGGGCTTTGCACAACCAGCCGGCTGGCTGGCTCAGAGACGCTGCCTCCCTGCTCTCCCAGACGCAGCTGAAATTCTTCCGAGCAGATGATTTAACGCCAAATTTATGTGGAAAAAATCCCAAATCTCCTGGGTGTCCTGATTTCCGTCTCCCGTCACTGGAGCGCAAGTGAGATCATTTTGGAGCTGGGAACTGGCAAACCAGAAACCTGACCCACCCTGGATTCAAACCCCTGACCTTGAGCCTGGCCCCCACAAACAGGGGGAGGAGTGCAGGGATTAAATCGACCACCAGGGGGAGCCCTTAGAGCCCCACCGCCGGGCTGAAGAACAGTCATGAATGACCCCCACAGGGAAAGCACGTGTGGCATGACAGAGGGTCCGGGTGAGGTTCCTTCTCCCGTCACTGGCACGACCGTCCTGCGGGGAAGGGGTTGGGCTGCAGTTGCTGCTTCCGAGAGGAGACTGGGATGGGCACCCACCCAGATCTGGGGGCTCCGTGATGCTTGTTGGCATGCTGGGGGCGGGGGAGTCTGTGCTGGAAGTGAAGAGTTGCTGCTGCATGACCCCCTTTCTGGAGCCCCCACGTGCCTTCGGTTCTGCAGGGCGGGAGCACTGGCGGGCCCTGCCACGGCCCATTCCTTGGTGGGTGGATCCAGGCTGGGTCTGAGGGAGACCCCCTGCGGCGACAGGAGGCAGCGCAGGCCGGGTGGGTCAGCCTGAGGGTCAGAGAGAACCGCAGGGTCTGGCTGTGTCCAGCAGCCTCCCCGGAGAATCGCCCTGACCTCATCCCAGCCCGTGTCTGCTGCAGAGATGCTGCACACACGGCCCTGCCTGAGCTCGGCACCTCCAGCTAGCGCGCCTGCCTGCAGCTATCTCACTGCCTGGCAGGGTCGGCTCCCTGCACCCAGCGCACATCCCTCCCGTGCCCCTTCTCCTTTCCGGGGAGGGGCAGCCGGCGCTGCGGGGGCTCTGTCTTTGGGACAGCCTGGGTGAGAGCAAGGAGATGCGGAGCCAGAAAGGGCCGTTGGGTCGCCCGAGGATGTCACCCTGTGCTGGGCATGCAATTGTGCTTGGCTAATGGCCGGGCTGGCTCTGAAGCCCTGAGGAGACGGAGAGCCCGCCCCCCTCGGCAGTCTGTCCCAGTGGTTAGGCACTGTGAGAAATGAGCCAGTCGATGCCTGCCCTGACGCAGATCAGAGAAACAACCGACCAGGCGTCTCCTGTCCCCGCAGGTTTGTGGGGTACCCCGGGCAGTACGGTACACTGCTCGGCCTGAGGAACGAGGAGGTGAGTCTCCGGGGTGGGGGACACCACGGGGAGCCTCTTGGAGCCCCAGCTACGGCCCAGGACCCCTGGGCGCTAGATGCTATACAAACCCAGAACAAAGAGCCAGTCCCCTCTCCAAAGAGCTTTGATGGTTTGTCCTTTACCAGCCACACTCCCTGCTCCCTTGGGGTCCCATCACCCCGTCCTCAGCATGCCCAGCCCTTAGGAGACACTCCTGTTATGTCCCACCGCAACAGCCTTAGGGACCCTGCGGGGCTTCTCTGATGCTGCCAGGCAGACAATTCCATCCGCGGCAGATCATTGCACCTGGCAGTGGCCGCTCTCAGGGATAGGATCCAGGCCGAGACGGACCCCGGGGTGGGGGCTCCCATGCTAGGAGTCTGCTGGGGCTGCCAGGGGAGAGGCCGTGCGATCCCAGCGCGGAGCTGGTCTGGCCTGTGCTGGGAGCGTGTGGGGCTGGACCTCCCGAGGCTCAGGTCTCTCTCCCGCAAGGCTGGGGCTGGCTGGGTCGTTCTGCACCGGGGAAGTGCAGGCCGAGGCAGCTGCTGAGCTAACCCAGGCCAGGCCTGAGTGACCGTGTGCTCCTGTCTCTCCTGGCTCCCGCAGTGCGGCCCCGGGGGGTGCCTGATCGAACTGGCGCAGCAGCTGTTCATCATCATGGTGGGGAAACAGATCATCAGCAACGTCCAGGAGTTCGTCATCCCGTGAGTGCCCGGCGATGGGGGCAGCTTGGTGTTAGGAGGCCAGGAGCTACCGGGGTTGTATCGGGGTACACCCCATCCCCTAGGGCTGGGAACCATCAGGGCCGCCCAGGCAGGAGCCAGAAGGCGGGGGGCAGGCCATGGCATTCGGTTACAGTCAGGTGGGAAAGGAGGGTCTAGGGGCTGAGCCGGACGGCTCAGAAATCCAGTGCCGGTTTCTCCTCTTGCCAAGCCCGGGGCAGGCTGGGGGGCTCTTGGCACTGACCCACTGCTCTAGCAGATGGTAGGTTCCACCTGTGCTGGTTGCAGGGAAACCCTGGACAGCACCTGTGTGATACAAGACGTGGCTCTGTGCCTCCCTCCCTCTGGCTGGTATAAAAGCAGCCCCCATCCTCCACGCACACCCGCCACGAACCAGCCCACGGATTCTCCCCTGTCCCCCTTCCCCTCTGCAGCAAGCTGAAGGCCTGGCGGCAGAAGCGCAAGCTGGCCAGGGTGCGGGGCGCGCAGATCAGCCAGGAGCCCCCGCGCTGGGAGGAGGACTACGAGCTGATCGAGTGCGAGGGGCTCTTTGAAGAGTACCTGGAGATGGGTGAGCGAGGGGCGCAGCCGGCCGGGGGAGGAGACACGCTGGCAGCTGGTGCCCAGCGACTCTGGCTCAGCCTGCGTGGAAATCCCAGACCGCAGGTCACTGGAGCTTCAGCCTTAATGCAGGGAGCTGTATACCCAGCGCCGCTGCTGGAGGGAGAGCCGCGGCCAGGCCTGGGAGGTGTTTGATTTGTAACTAAAAGCTATTCATCCTATAGAGAGCGCTGGCTGGGGGAGCGCCCAGCCGTTTGCAGCAGGGGGCGCTGTAGGGCACGGGGCAGAAGTGCTGGCTGTGGAGGGGAGCGCCCAGGTACTCCAGTCCCAGCCTCTCCCAGCAGGGGGCGCTTCATGGGATCCTGCTGGCGATGGGGGAGCAGACCCTGGCTGAGCGGCCACCTCACTCCTTGCTCCCTTGGGCTTGCAGTGCTGCAGTTTGGGTTCATCACGATCTTCGTGGCTGCCTTCCCGCTGGCCCCGCTCTTCGCCCTGCTCAATAACTGGGTGGAGATCCGCCTGGACGCCCAGAAGTTCGTGTGCGAGTACCGGCGCCCGGTGGCCTACCGCGCCCAGGACATCGGGGTCTGGTTCCTCATCCTGGAAGTCCTGGCTCAGATCTCTGTCGTCGTCAACGTGAGTGCAGAGCCGGCTCCTCGGAGGCCGTTCCCAGGCCAGGCACTGAGCGGCCCCCGTGGCCTGGAACAATCCAATGCCCTGTCCTCTCTCGACTCACCCTGCCCCTCCCGTGCCCTGCTGGCTCCCTGCCTCCATTCCCGCTGGCCCCCTGCTTGGAGCAGCCTCCTGCTGCTTCCCTGGCACCCTCTTACCTGCCTCTGCTGGCTGCCTGTCCCTGGGCTGCCCCCGGCCTGTCCCTGGCATGAGCTGCGTGGGGTGGGCGCCGTGCACACAGGGCCCTAAAGGAGCCGTGCCCCGGTGAAGGTGAAGGTGGATTGTGCCCTGTCGGCCGTGGGGATGGGCTGTGAAGACAGGAGGTTGCCAGAGCCGGGTACCATGTGCCCCAGTTTTCCCTGCACCTGGTGCTTCTCCAGGGGCTGGGAGTCGGTGGTGCACCCTGTGGCACCCATCCAGGCTCCCACATGTATCCCTATGGTGCCCAATCCCCCCTCTCCGATCTCTGCCACCTGACAGCCTCCATCTGGTCTTAGGTGACTTGAGAGAAACGTTCTTTGACAGGGTGACAAGCTGTGTGGATGGGGGAAGCGGTAGATGTGGTGTAGCTCGACTTTAGTTAGGCTTTTGATACTGTCTCATGTGACCATCTCTTAAACAAACTAGAGTAATATCGCCTGCTATAAGGTGGGGGCAGAACTGGTTGGGAAACCGTTCCCAGAGAGTCGTTATCAGTGGTTCACAGTCATGCTGGAAGGGCGTAATGAGTGGGGTCCCGCAGGGGTCAGTTCTGTGTCCGGTTCTGTTCAATATCTTCATCAATGATTTAGAGAATGGCATAGAGAGTACACTTATAAAGTTTGCGGATGATACCAAGCAGGGAGGGGATGCAAGTGCTTTGGAGGACAGGATTAAAATTCAAAATGATCTGGACAAACTGGAGAAATGGTCTGAAGTAAACAGGATGAAATTCAATAAGGACAAATGCAAAGTACTGCACTGAGGAAGGAACCATCAGTTGCACACATACACAATGGGAAATGACTGCCTAGGAAGGAGTCCTGCAGAAAGGGATCTGGGGGTCATAGTGGATCACAAGCTAAATATGAGTCAGCAGTGTAACATGGGTGCAAGAAACGCTAACATCATTCTGGGATGTATTAGCAGGGATACTGTAAGTAAGACACGAGAAGTAATTCTTCTGCTTTACTCCGCGCTGATTAGGCCTCAACTGGAGTATTGTGTCCAATTCTGGGCTCCACATTTCAGGAAAGGTGTGGACACATTGGAGAAAGCCCAGAGAAGAACAACAAAAATGATTAAAGGTCTAGAAAACATGACCTATGAGGGAAGATTGAAAAAACTGGGTTTGTTTAGTCTGGAGAAGAGAAGACTGAGAGGGGACATGACAGTTTTCAAGCACGTAAAAGGTTGTGACAAGAAGGAGGGTGATAAATTGTTCTCGTTAACCTCTGAGGATAGGACAAGAAGCAAGGGGCTGAAATTGCAGCAAGGGGGGGCTTAGATCGGACATTAGGAAAACTCCCTGGCTCTCGGGGCAGTTATGCAGTGGAACAAGTGACGGCGGGACGATGTGGAATCTCGGTCAGTGGCGGTTTTAAAGAGCAGGTTGGACAAACACCTGCCAGGGCTGGTCCAGATGATACTTAGTCCTGCCTCAGGGCAGGGGACTGGACTAGACGGTCTCGCGAGGTCCCTTCCAGGCCTCTATCTCTATGTGGTCCCTGAAACACTGCACTGACTTGGCCGCTCTCCTCCCCCTGCCAGCCATGTTCCTCTCCTCCATCGCTCCCAGCAGGGCAGCCCGTGGCCCGAGCCTCCAGCCCCGCCCCCGCGGCAGCCCCGTGCACCCCACGGCGGGGAACCCTGGCTCAGCAGGGTGGTGCTGTTCTCACCCCCGGGGATGGGAGATCGGGGGACGTCCCGGATGACTCGCCCTTGACCCTCGTCCTTGCGCACTCAGGCCTTCCTCATCGCCTTCACCTCGGACTTCCTGCCCCGGCTCCTCTACCAGTACGAGCACGACAGCCAGCTGCAGGGCTACGTCAACTTCACCCTGGCCTACTCCCCCCCGCGCTACCTGGCCACCGGCAACCACACCCTGTGCAGGTGCCAGGCAGGGGAGGTGGTGGGAGGGGCGACGGGGGAGATGGTGGGAGGGAGGATGGGTCAATGGAGAAAGGGGAGGGACCGCACAGGGAGCTGGGGAGAGGGCAAAGGGGAGGATGATGGGGAGCTGCAGTTAAGACCCTTCTCTCCCCAGCTGAGCAGAACCAAGCCCGTTTTCCGAGGCTTCCCTGGGGTTGGGTCCGGAGCCGTTCACCACGGGGTCACGGTGGGGGCTTGTGTGAGATGAGGTTGGTGGGTCTCAGTCCAGTTCCCAAAGGGCAGCTGCCAGGAAGGCTCCGCCCCCCTTGGCACCAGCTGGCCACTCACTGGCAGGTCAGCAGGGACCCAGGGCTGACTGGGCCGTGGGGCCTGACCTCCCAGCTTGTCCCCCGGGGGGATCTAGTTTGGGGGGGTTGGAGTGTGGGAGCTGTCAGTCAAGTACCTTTCCTCGCCCCACCCACCAAGGTGAGGCCCATGAGTGGGGGACTGAGCCAGCCCCCCCTAAGCTGCTGCCCCTGTGCCCAGGTACAAAGCCTTCCGGGATGCCAATGGGAACTACACCCTCTTCTACTGGAAGCTACTGGCCGTCCGCCTGGGCTTCATCATCGCTTTTGAGGTGAGCCTCGGTCGGCACCGTGCAGGCGTGGGCTCGGCGATCCTCCCACCGGCCCCCCTGCCAGCCGGGCTGGACCCAGGCCAGGCTGGGGAGCTGAGAGCGAGGGGGGAGGGGCTGAGCTGCCCCTTCTTCTCTGCTGTGTCCCTTTAGGGTCCTGGACCAAGCCCATCACCCTGGTTTATTTCTTTCCAAGTGGATCAGAAACCTCCGGGGGGGGAGTTGCATTGAAGGGCAGAGGAGCCAGTCTGGACACACAAACCTCACCCCGAGACCCCAGCTCGAACCAGACCTGAGCTGTGGATCCTTTCCAAGGACCTGCCCCATCCCAACTATTTGGCATCATCACCTGACTTTCCGCCCTCCCTGGCTCCCTCCAGAGGTGCAGGGACCATGCCAGGGAGGCCGGCTGTACAGCACTTTCCTGACTGTCCATGACACACTCGGGCGATGAATCGGTGCTGCGTATCCAAGCCCAGCTGGAGCAGAGGCTCCAGGACTCTGGCGAGAGACCCTGTTATTGTTATGTGTGTGACCGGAGCATTAGGAGCCCGACAGAGCAGCGGACCCTGGCGGTTTGGTATGAAGCTCCCAACCTCTGGGAATGCAGAGTTTCGGTTGGAGGGCAAACCTGGAGGGGTTGAAGGCGGCCAGACGTCGACTGGGGGTGATTCTGACCTGGGCTGGGCCAGGAACTTGGGAATCAAAGGGAGGGGATGGGTGGTGCCCAGTGTGGCCTGAAAGGCAGGGCTGGGTCCAGGCCACATTCAGCACCCTGCCTACTGCTTAAAACAGTCTCAGTGAATAGGCCAGTGGCTTGCAGCGGCTGCCCTCTGTGGGGCTGGGTGGACAGCTCTGTAGGGCTGGGATCTGCGCAGTAGTACCCGAGCCCCACACGGTTGTCAGTGTGTCTGTCCTCACGACTCCCTGATGCCCCACAAGGCTAAGTGCCAAGTTCGGGCCCTAACCACTGGGCCAGCCTTCCCCTCTGGCCATGACTAACAGGGTAGAGACAGCTGGGCCATTTCGAATGGAGCCTCTCTGAACCTCGTCCTTTCTTCTTGTTTTCCATGTGCCTTTATCCTCGCTGCCGCTCTCTTCGGCCGCCTGTCCCTGCTTCTCACTGTCTGTCCGTTTGTCCTTGCCTCTCCTCGCCGCTTTCCCCTCCGCTCCCCCCGCCCCATCAGCACGTTGTCTTTTTCTTCCTGCGCCTCATCGACTGGCTGGTGCCCGACGTCCCGGGGTCGCTGGAGCTGAAGATCAAGCGAGAGCGCTACTTAGCCAAGCAGGCGCTGGCCGATAACCAGGAGGTGCTGCTGACGGTGAGTCGCGACTCAGCTTCGCCAGGTCAGTGTGCGAGGAGCTGGCGGGCACGGGTCTGTCCTTGTCCCTCTGTGAAACAGACGCGGGCTAGCGAGCGACTGACAGGAGCCCACACGGAGTGGGAGGCCCTGGGCTGGAGAGGCTGGAGGGAGGACAGTTGAGGTCTGGCCCCGTGCGTGGAATCGCTCTGCTTCTCGCTATGTCCTCGCCCTCTGCCAGCTGTTCGCCACAGGCTCTCCGCGCTGGCGCATCAGGAGAGACTCATTTTTGTTCTGCGGTGACTTGGCTAAGTGAGGAACTTGGAGCGTAGCGCGGACAAGTGTGGGAAATTCTGCACACACAGCTCTGTCGGTGCACTTCAGTGCCCATCTGTCCAGTCCGATCCCCGCCAACTCCGCTGTTACCCCGCAATCCTCACCTGCATCCGCTGCCCCGCTCTTCCAGCCTAGGCCTCGTGAGCACTGGTGCCTGCTCTGCTCCACGCTGTGGGCAGGGGTTTGGGATACGGACAAACGTCTGCCAGGGTCAAGCAGAAGCCGCCAAGCCCGTATCACCTTTGGGACACCAGATCTCTGAGTGAAGTGGGCTCCTGCACTAGCCCGCCGGGCGCCCCTATGTACCCTCAACTCTGCCCATGGGCTCAGGGCTTCAGCCCCATGGGGGGCACTGGGGATCGGGGCTTCAACCCCACAGCTCCTGGCTTCAGCCCCATGGGAGGTGCTGGGGCTTGAGCTCTGGGTTTTATCCGTGGGGCCCTGCGGCCCCCTGAAAGGGTTCGCGGGCCCCGTGTTGAGAACCGCTGGTGTATGAGACGCTTTCATAGAGCTGAGCTCTTCGTGTGTGAGCTGTGGAACTCACTGCCACAGGGGAGCTGGAGGCCAGAGAGAAACGGGCGCTTGGGTGTATCACTGCAGCACTCGTGGTTTCACATCAGCTGGAGGAAGAGTGCAGCGCTGGAAATGCCACCCCCACCCAGACACAGCCCCGGTTAGCGCCTTCAGACCACCCTGGTCTGTGTCCCGCTGCGGAGCTGGAACGAGGCGCCAGCACCGTTTTACCCTCTCCCCCACTTGCAGGATTTTATTACCCCCTTCCCCCCGCTCTAGCCACCCCCTATAGTTACAGTGCTACTGTGTGGGCCCAATCCTGCAACACAAGAGGCCTCCCCACCCCTCGGTTGCAGGATCAGGCCTGGAGCCGATACCATTGGTTGAATTCTAACCCTGCCGTTCCCTCTCCACCCTGCGCAGCAAGCAGCCTTTCATCCAGCAGCATGAGCTAGCGGCGCCGGCTGGGAGCAGCCCCCGGGGGCTTGGCAGATGGGAAGGCAGAGCTGGCTGGGGCCGGGCCCCCTCCACACTCGATCAGGTGACTTGCCACTGGCAGGGCGGGAAGGGGCCGAACCGGAGCTGTCCAGAGGGGCCAGCAAAGCAGCAACGCCCCACAGACGACCTTCGACCTCCAGCGTGCCAGGGCGAGGCTCATCGGACCCAGAGACGCGTGCCCGGCCTGGGTGTAGGTAATGAGGCAGCTGGCGTGTGAGGAGTATCCCAAGCCCGGAGGAGGAAGCTGGCGCTGGCTGCCGCTGCGCTCCTGGCTGAGTCGGCCCAGCGGGCCCCTCGCTCGCCCCCAGCCTGCGAACGCTTTGCTGCCTCCAAGATGGGCGGTGATGGGTCCAAGGCTGCTCACGCTCCAAGGCAATCGGCAGTGGGGGCCCCATGCGTCCGGCTGACTCTGGCCCATGCCGCGAGACCCTCCTAATCGCTGTGAGTGGGGCTGGCTGTCAGGTCAAGGTCACCCCGTTCAGAGGCGAGCGGCCCCGGGGCACAGAGCAGCAGCTGGAAGGGTGCACTGAGAAATGCACTGCAAACGCGGCAACGCAAACGCCCCAGGGAGGAGCAGCGAGACCCCCCTGTTGTGCATCCCCCCGCATGCACACGGTTGGTCTGAGCCCCAGTGGGCCCATCGCCCAAGGTGCTGGTGCAATTTACGGCTCCTGTCACGGCCGCGCGGAGATACCAGTGGGGACAGAGACCCTGTGCCGTCTTTTCCCTTCCTCCCAAGGCTCTCGGTGGAATCAGTCTGTCAGCCCCAGCTCACATCCCTTCTGGGCCAAGATCGTCCAGAGCGGGCTGGGCTGGCCTCTCTGGGGGCTGTGGCTGCAAGGGGTGTGAGGCGGGCAGGAGAGGCAGGGGGCAACAAATAGACGCCAGTGCTACACCCAGGCCTCTGTGTCTATCACATCCTGTCCCCATGTCAGAACCAGGCTGTCGATTTCTCCCACTTAGAATGTTTGTGGATTGACCCCACCCCGGCGATCGTGATGAGCTCAGGTCCTTCCCAAACTGGGCTACGCAGACCTTTCCCTTTGCATAGGGCAGGGGTCCCCAACGCGGTGCCCGCGGGCGCCATGGCATCCATATGCGCCCACCTACTGGCTGCCGGAAAAGCAGCTGCCGAAATGCCGCCGAGAAGCAGCAACGTCAAGAAGCGCTACCGCCGAAATTCGGCATTTTGGCAGCGATGCCCCTTGACGTTGCCACTTCACGGCGGCATTTCGGCGGCTGCTTGTCCGGCGGCCACGGTCCTCGGCGGCTAGTCATCCGGCGCCCGCCCCACGGAAAAGGTTGGGGCCCTCTGGCATAGGGCACTGGCTCAGTTCACACCAGGGGACACAATTAGTCAGACCCCCAAGGAGCACATGCCTTGTTATAACTAACGAGCACAAAGCTCCATAAAGGCCAAAGGATTTCAAGCCCTGAGGTAGCCCACTGACACGTAATCACGCAGCTGCACGAACGAGATGAATGGGAAACGTTTTAGACCCATCCTTTCGGTAACGACTGGGCTGCAGATCCGTATTCAGTCCCTTTCTGGGGCCAGCTAAGGTTTGTCCCTGTCCATTATCCGTGCCTGGTGTCCACAACCAAACTGCCGCTCGTTAACATTGATCATTTGCATGGATCATTTCTTAACAATCCCTATACATCCGTACAGCTGAACTATCTAGGTACCGCCTGGTTACCAAACTGCCAGACTCCAAGACCCCCTGATTGCAAAAGGGGGCCTTGCAGAAACCAGAACTCACGACCTGGGGTTACTTTCTCAGACTGGAAGCACATTAGCTAAAAGACCGGCTTTAGCATGACTAAAATCCAGCCTTTCCCGCGGAGACAGGCAAAGCCTAAAGCCCCCAATTATTTGTGTTCGCCAACCATGTTTCAATCTAATAGCCTGACAAAGCTACTACCACTATACCCCACGTCTCGACACTTAGAGCAAGTTACGTTTGTGCATGGGATGGGGTGATAGGTCAACGCAGGGCTGGGTGGGGGGGAGCCGGGGCCACGCACTCCCCTGCCCATTAAGCCAATTGCACCTGGCTCCAAGCTGCAGCCACCAATGACATGCAGCTGTTCCAGGCCAGACCCGCAGAGGGGCAGGGAGGGGATCATTTCAAGGCTATAGAAAAGCTTCTACCATGGTTTGAATGTCCTCCATGTGCATGCTCACTCCCAAGGGGAGCCATTGAATGAGGACGTTCCCTGCCCCACTCACCTGCAGTCCCACTAGGCACCAATGGGGGGTGCTGCAGGGTCAAGTCAGACGATGCGTTGGCGTGCCAAGCTCTGCGGCCTCTTCCAAGTCCTTCGTACGTAACGCTAGCGACTCCGCTGAGCCTGGCCGGCCTGGAGCGTGCGCCCCAGGCCACGTAGAGCTCCTTGTCACGCTGTATGTGCAGGGGGGGGAATAAAACGTGGAATGACCTGACGGCAGCTGGCGTGGTTGTGTGGTGGGGGGTCGGGTGAGCCATTTGCTTGTCCAGGGGCCCTGGATCTCCAGCTTTTACTGAGTGGAGCCAGCCCTGCTCTCCTGCTGGAAGATGCTTAAGTCAAACACCAGTGACTGGGCGAGGGTTGCCAACTTTCTAATCACAGAAAACTGACCACCCCTTCGCCGAGGCCCCGCCCTTGCTCATGCCATCCCCTGCTCGCTCTCCCCCAACCTCACTCACTTGCTCATTTTCACCTGGCTGGGGCAGGGGGTTGGGGTGCGGGAGGGGGTGAGGGCTCTGCCTGGTGGTGCAGGCTCTGGGGTGGGGCCGGGGATGAGGGGGTTGGGGTGCAGGAGGGGGCTCTGGGCTAGGGGATGGGGCCAGAAATGAGGGGTTCAGGATGTGGGCTGGGGAAGGGGGTTGGGGTGTGGGCTCTGGTAGGGAGTTTGCATGCGGGAGGGGGCTCAGGACTGAGGCAGGGGTTGGAGTGCAGAAGGGCGGTTGGGGTGCAGTCTCCAGACAGTACTGACCTCAGGTGGCTCCTGGGAAACGGAGACATGTTCCTCCGGCTCCTAGGTGGAGGGGTGGCCAGGGGGCTCTGCGCGCCGCCCCTGCAGCTTCCATTGGTCATGGTTCCTAGCCAATGGGAGCTGCGGAGCCAGTGCTTGGGCAGCGTGGTGCAGTCCCAGTCAGTAACCCCCGTGGCCCAGAAGGTGTCACCCTGGCAGAGGCCTGGCGTGGTGCTATCCCGTAACCAGCTCAGCACACTGGCATTGCGCAGTGTGGACGGTTTCTCGAAGCCCACCTGTGTTTAGCCAATCCGCCCTCCCCCGGCCGGCACTCTGGGCGCGAGGCCCTCCTGGCGGGCATTGCTCCATGGGCTGCTCTGGGCGGCTGTGCCCTCTCCCCTGCTGACGCAGGATGGGCCATCGGCCTGGATTTCCCCACGATTGCCGGGTTCTGGAAAAGAAAGACAAACCCACTGCTCCGTCACTGAGCTCGGCTGTTGGGGTTCGAGCTGGACCCAGACAAAGGCAATGCAGCATGCACCAGCCCTGTGGGCCCCGTCCGCAGAGTTACACGCCCAGCCCTGTTTGCCAAACGGGAGGGAAGCGAGCCCGGCGAGGGGGCGAACGAATGTCCTTTGCAAGAGGCTGTTTGAGCCAACACAGGCCCATGTACATCGTCACCTAGGGGAGTGTGGTGTTGAAGACGTGCCAATCAGAGTATTTATAACTAACGTCGTTAAACATTCGGGTACGAAGTCCACTCCCCAGAGTCATCCCCAGGTTTCACAAATAACGTCTTAAAAGTCTGTTCTTAGGCTTAGAAAAATCAGATCCTAAGCTTGGGTCCAGCAAAGTGTTTCAACACAGGAGTTGTCCCATTGACTTCAATGGCACCACAGGCAGACTTCAGTGAGTCACTGGATCAGGACCTAAGCAGTGGATAGTGGTGAAAGTTGGTTTCCCACTCAGTCAGTCCCAAAAAACGGAGCCAGGCCCCTTGCTGGCCCCCCAGGCGGCCCTGGACCCCACGTCCCCCTGAAGCACGCCCCCCCCCCCAAAGCATGGGGCCCAGGGCGGTTGTCCTGGTCCCTCCGATGGACCGGACGGCTCTGCTTGGACCCCTTCTGGACACCACCAAAAATGAGACAAGCCTGGCGCCCAGGGGTGGCACGTGCGGATTGCAGTCACCGCTGGGGGCGGCGCTGGGGGCCCTGGCGTTAGGAAGCACCTGAGCGCGGTTTCCCTGCAGCAGGAGAAGCTGAG